TCTTTCATGATATCCAACACCTTTCCCCTTGCTGCCTCTCTTGTCCTCATACATTGTCGTGGGCATGCAGCAATAGCACCACTGCTAACAATGATCTCCCTTTACAGCTTGCTGGATGCTTACTTGGCCTCTCTAAGTTCCATTGCTCCACATCCGACCTTTTTCCCTTTTTGTATATTTTAATGTTCCTTTGTTATTATCTTCTGTTTTGCAAGCCGTTGTTTACAATGGGACGTATGGCTGAAGAAAAGTATAAGATTATTTCTAAGCTGAATAATGGATTCTGCAAGTGCAGGAGAGAGTGACTAAGCTGTAGAGGAGAATTAAAGCTACTTTTACTTATGGATAGACTGTGCAGTGTCCACCTATATATGTTGTAATAAATTCAGTTTTGATGTTCGCTAAAGCAAATAAGAAGACAAGGAAGCCTAAATCAAGAAATATTAGGTGAGAAAACTCTGTTTTTCCACTGGTAATTTTCTGTGTAATATTACTGTGTAATTTTCTGCTGTATAAAGGTAAGGATATCAATGAGAAGGTATAGATAGAGATGTAGACCTCTGCTCCTCTCAATTTGTGTGTGAAAAGGAGTTCAGCAGGAAAGTGCAATATTATTTTTGTTTTTCTTCGCCACATCGGATGCGAATTACTGTTTGTAATTTGTTTAAGCAAATTTGGCAACGTACCTTCTAACAAGGCAGGAATTAAAAAACCATGAGAGAGCGAAAACCTTTTTACTTACGTAATCCCAACCCCAACCCCAATAGTTTTCATCGTCGTTCGGCAGAGGTTAATCCCTCTGTTGGGAACGGTGGACAACATGAGTGTCAACCGGTAAGGGAGCGACCTAACCTTAACCAGAACCCCAGAGCCGACAATTAGAGAAGAGGATATACGGGTGCAGGTGAAGCAGAATGGGGAAGAATGAGGTTTAAACAGAGGGACAACAGCAAAGGATATGATAAAGGGATACTGAAACAAGCCACTTCTTTCTTTATTGCAAATTTCCCTGAGTCCTGGAAGATTGAGGATATGTGGAAAGAGTTCAAAAAGTATGGCAGAGTAATACAGATATACGTGGCAAACAAGAAGGATAAGTGGGATAGAAAGTTTGGCTTTGTTAGGTATTTGGAGATTAAAAATCCTAGAGAAATGGAACTGAACTTGAGTAAGATTAAAGTGGGGGAGCTCAGAATCCAGGCGAACTTAGCCATGTACAATGAAGGAAATGGAACAACTGGGAGGAGCAGAAGGCAAATAGTCCACAGAGGGGAGAGTAGTTATGGGCAGTATGCAGATGTAGCAGCAAAGTCATTCGCGGATGTTGTTCGGGGTGATAAACACGAGCCTAGAATGGAAGTTTCAGAAAGGAAACGATGGACCCCAAAGAAAAACGTCAGGACAGATGTTGCTAGTAAGGAAACAGATGTTGTTTTGGAGTTCCAAGCTAACAAAGAAGAGAAGGAGTGGCTAAAGAACTTTTATGTGGGACAAATGCACAAGCTTGATGGATTAATGTCCCTACAAGACAGACTATTGGTAGAAGGATTCTTTTCAATAAAAGTAACTGCAATGGGTGGAAATCTCATGCTGATCCATTGTGAAGATACTGAGGAAGTTGATACCCTGCTGAAGGAGGGGAATGATTGGCTCAAGAATTGGTTT